CCTCCTCCTCCTCCTCCTTCCTCCCCAGTGTCCCCTCCTCCTCCTCCTCCTCCTCCTCCGACTCCTCCTCCTCCTCCTCCTCCTCCTCCCCAGTGTCCCCTCCTCCCGCCCCGCCCCTCTCCTCCAACGCCAACACCCGTGGCCTGGGACGCGTCGTGGCCAGGAGTCCGAGGCGGACCCGGCCGTGACGACGAAGGCGCCGCCCGCGGCACGGACAAGAGACGGGAGAACGCCCTAAACCCTCCCTCCCCCCTCGAAGGGAGAAGGAGGAGGAAAACGGAAAGAGGAGGAGGAGGAGGCGGAGGAGGAGGGGGAGGAGGAGGAGGAGGAGGAGGAGGAGGAGGAGGAGGAGGAAGAGGAGGAGAAGGAGGAGGAGGAGTAGGAGAAGGCGCACCCGCGTCGAAGACGGCGTAGAAGTTGGCCGCGCCGCGCGCCTCGACCGCGGAGCCGCTCGGCCCCGCGCTACTAGCCGCGGAGGCGGGCGGCACCGGCGCGGCCTGGCTCGGGCACGGGGGGCAGGTCTGCTGCGGGCAGGATGCGCGCAAGGAGGAGGGAGGAGGAGGAGGAGGAGGAGGAGGAGGAGGAGGAGGAGGAGGAGGAGGAGGAGGAGGAGGAGGAGGTTCCAGGTACGAGGAGGGAGGAGGGGGAGGAGGAGGAGGAGGAGGAGGAGGAGGCGGAGAGGAGGAGGAGGCGTAGGAGGAGGAGGGGAGGAGGAGGAGGAGGAGGAGGGAGGAGGAGGTCGAGTTCTCGCTGCCGAGGGGAGACCCGCGGTCACGGAGAAGAGTTCAGAGAAGAGTGAGGGTGTAGAATAGAGATTAGGTTGAGCGGGTGCGGGCGCCGGGGTGGGTCGCGGGTGGGGCGCGGGCAGGTCGCGGGATGGGTCGCGGGGTGGATCGCAAATAGGTCGCAGGGGGGCAGCGGACGAGAACGCGACGACAACAAGAACAGTGCGACAGCAACGACAACATCAATTGTTTTGAGACTGTTCGCTCGTATCTGCTCGCGTGTCGCTCGACATGTATGCCCCGAGCCCTCGATACCCGCCCTCTTCGTCTTCGATCATACCCCCCTTGGGGGTATATCTTCCTTACCTGTCACGTGTATTTGGCGCAGCCGCTACAACAGGGGAACGGAGGAGGGAAGGGACAACGGGGAGAGAGAAGGATGGATCACGACAGACATTGGCAGGAGGGGGGTTCGGAGCAAAAAGTAAGCGGCAGAATTAGACGGGCAGCAACAACAATCCGAACCGTCGAATCCCATTTCAGCCAGGCGCCCAGGGACAATGAACGACCGTTCGGCCCCCTCACTCTGATATCCACATCCACTGCATCTTGGAGTTTCGGGCCCCCTTGGAGACTCATCTCCCCCTTGGAGGCTGGATTGTTACCCAGATCTCCGGCGCCTCGGCCTTTGTAGGGAGCCCACAAAGGACGTACGCGGCCAGCTATGTACATGAACACGGCCCCTCGATTCGCGAGACTGGCCGCGTTATACGAACATTTGTGAAATGCGTGCTCTCGAAACCAGCGTGGATTCATGTACATGTACGTCCTTCTTTCGCTCCTGACTTTGGGGCTCCTCTCTCTCTTGGCAGAGTGCTCCAGATGCAATGGCATTGACAGAAATGCTGCCCGCATCCGCTGCCCTCCGCTGAGATCCGGGCGCTGCGCTGGTGTTCACGCCGGGCGTCTTCCTGGCTTCGGGCCCCAGGACCATCACAGATCTGAAGGGGAACTGGAACACACAAATAAATACACACAAATAAAAATATCCCCATATTTTCCCATATTTTCTGGGTTTTTGTCTTCCCCACCACTTCCCATATTTTTGTATATTTTCCTGGGAGTCGACGATTAATTGTGTCTGTGTGTTTCTTTCCCTCCTGAAGATCATCGGCCTCGGACAGATTACCCGAAAGATGGGAGCTGGGGCTCCGGACGTGACTTGTTTTGGCTCAGGCATGTCCTCCTGCAGAGGATTTTATAAGCCAAATGGATAATCAAAACATGTTCCCAAATCGTCCACAATGACAGAAGAATCGCCGCCGGACCATTCTGTTAACGATTCGGGAATATCCCTCCTGTGGAGGGACATGCCCGGCTGAAGACTTGTCCGCGAAGCTGCAGGCCACGTTGGATCTCAGGGGCGCCTCTGACAGCCGTGGGCTCTCGGATGCTGCGCCTACACATGGAAACACGATCATGGCTGCTCACCTTCATACCCGACGGCTCGTGCGTCACTGTTCAACCAAACAGATCACCGTCGTCACCGTCGTCACTGGGCTAATACTTCACCGTCGTCACTGGGCTGATACTTCACACCCGTCGGTCCTGAAGGTTGCATACCGTCTGCTGCACTTTGGAAATATCTGGCTGCCCCTCCTGTGGAGCTTCCCAGGCTGCAACGGCCAGGCTTCATCAATTGGACATGAATTTCCTGGACAATGGGGACCCTACAAATGAGTTCTGGTGAACCTTCCCAGGCATCCAAACTCTGGGCTGATCAGTCTGAACGCGCGCGACCCATCTGGCCTCGGAATACCAGTTTGGCCCTCCCTCTCAAACTATGGGTGCCCTGGGACGTGTGAGCTCCTGATTCGAACACTGCTGCAAACCCTTACATCCGCCGATTTCAATCCGCGACTCCGGAGGTGTCTACCGCTTCCTCTCAGGTGACGGGCGAAAGAGAGCAAGGCCCCACGAGGGCCCCGAGAAGGCGCCGCGAATCGCAACAAGGATCCTCAACACGGTACCAACAATGCCGTGCACAATGTGTCGGTCCACACAACAGCGCTACCACGCTTACACACACACACACACACACACACACACACGCACACGCACACGCACACGCACACGCACACGCACACGCACACGCACACGCACACGCACACGCACACGCACACGCACACGCACACCACACGCACACGCACACGCACACGCACACGCACGCGCACGCGCACGCGCACGCGCACGCGCACGCACACGCCAGCACAGCACACGCACCGCACACGCACACGGCACACGCACGCGCACGCGCACGCGCACACACACGCACACGCCACACGCACAAGCCCGACGCGCACGCGCACGCGCACGCGCACGCGGCACGCGCACGCGCACGCGCACGCGCACAACACACACCCAACACACACAAACACACACACGCACACACGCACACACACACAGACACGCACACGCACGCACGCACACACGCACACACGCACACACGCACACACGCACACACGCACACGCGCACACGCGCACACACGCGCACACGCGCACACACGCGCACGCGCGCACACACGCGCACGCGCGCACGCGCACGCGCACGCACACAGACACAGTCACAGACACAGACACAGACACAGACACAAACACAGACACAGACACAGACACAGACACAGACACAGACACAGACACACACACACACACACACACACACACGCACACGCTGCCTGTATTTGAGGATGGCGGAATGTTACAAGAAGACGCTATTTCTACCAGAAGCATCGAAATAAACCTACTGGCCCTGTGGGTGCAGGTGACTTGGCGAATTCTTTCTGCCAGTCCCCTTCTTCGCCGCGGTGAGGGATCTGGCATTGTTTATCAGTGCTCCCTATCCGCCATTCTGCCCCCTGGCGCGATGAGGCGTGGACAAAAAGGCCAAGTGCGGTCTGGTAGGGGATCTGTAATCTTCTAAGCCTCCCCCCCTCATCGCAGACTGTTTCGTGCATCGCCCCTTCCTTCAGAGCCCACGATCCCTCGCAAAAAAATTGCTATCCTGGCGAGGGGCCAGACCGTATCCAGACGTGGGCACCGCAAAGCAAGTGGGACGATACACGTGAGGGGTGCGCCAAAACAGGGCGGTGCCGCCGTGCGAGCCCTGCCGCTGGAGCCTCTCGTGGAACGTGCTGCGGGGCCACGAAGCGTGAGGCGTGCGCCGAGATGGGTGCGGTGCCGCCATGCGAACCCTGCTGGTGGGTCATTCGGGTGAGCTCCCTAAGGGGCCAACAAACGTGCCAGGTGTGCTAAGTTGGTGCGGCCGCCATGCGAAGCTTGCCACTGGGGCCTTCGGCGGAGCTCCCTTATGGGGGCACGAGACATGTGAGGGATGTGCCGAAATTGGTGCCGTGCCGCCATGCGAAGCTTGCCACTGGGGCCCTCGGTGGGGCTTCCAATGGAGCCACGAAGCGTGTGGCGTGCCGACATGGAGAGCAGAGGCAGGGATGGGAGAAGGGAGGAGCGGGAGGTGAGGAGGTGACGCGGGGCGCTGCCTCTCCCAAACGAAGGCCCATCACCATAGGATTGTTGCGGAGAGTGGACCCGCGCTCTCGAGCTTCCAACACGGCACAAACATGACACCAAGGCCACCGAGATGGTCCAAGATGCCGCCGAGAGGGCCCAAGATGGAGGGCCACAAGGGAACCTTCAACAGGGCCCAAACCAGTGTTGACATGGTTTCGCATTCTCGCCTTTTCGGGCGTACGTCAGATCAAGACGGCCCAAGAAGCCTCCAAGTTGGCGCCGAGCCAGCCCAAGAAGCCCTCAGGGGGGTCCCAAGACGGCCCAAGAGGATCCCCCGATGGCCCCAGACAGCCCAAGAAGGCCTCCTGAGAGCGGCCTGAGAGGGACCCAAGACGGCCCAAGGGTCCTCCTCCTCCTCCTCCTCCTCCTCCTCCTCCTCCTGACCGGCAAGCTGGGTCCCTGGCCCCTCGACGAGAATGGAGGAGGAAACAACGGGGGCATGAGAAGACTGCACGCGGAAACGCCGTGCCGATCTTGGCCAGCGCCGATCTTGCTCAGCGTCGCTTCGTGTTAGTATCCTCGCGAATCGGCACGGCCTACATGGACCATGACCAGGGTCGGCATCGGCAAGATCCCAGGACCCATGACCGGGGGAGGAGGAGAAGGAGGAGGAGGAGGAGGAGGAGGAGTAGGAGGAGGAGGAGGAGAAAGAGGAGAACGAGGAGGAGGAGGAGAAGGAGGAGGAGGAGGAGGAGAAGTAGGGGGAGGAGGAGGAGGGGAGGAGGAGGAGGAGGAGGAGGAAGGAGGAGGAGGAGGAGGCTAAGCCCTTCGGAGAATTTTTACCCTCCAGGGCTCGGGTTTTCTTTTCTCGAGAGAAGGCCCCCCACTATGGGGGGAAAGCGAAGCGGGGGAGGAGGGGCCGGGGGGGGTGGAAGGGGAATCGGGAAATGGACTGGAATGACTGAGGAGGGGTGGCGGGGCTGGGCCTGCGGCCCCGGGTACCGCTCCCAAGTGACTTGCGCTGGGCTGCCTGCTAAGCCCTCCTCCTACCTCATCCTCCTCTTCTCTCCTCCCCTCCTCCTCCTTCTCCTCTCCTCTTCCTCCTCTCCCCCTCCCCTTCTCCTCCTCCTCCTCCTCCTCCTCCTCCTCCTCCTCCTCCTTGGACAGCCGCATGTACAGTCAACTCGTCTAATGAGGACGCGCAGCAAGGATACAAGGGCCTTGGAGGGCCATGCTAATGGCTTTCGAACTAGGATGGCCAGCGAAAAATACCACAGATGCGCCCAAGCGACACGGATGCGAGGGTAGCCTTGGAAAGGTTGTCCATCCTTACTATGCGGGTTGACTGCACCTCCGAAGTACCTTATCCTTGGCCGCCCGCAGGTACATCCTAAGTACCCTTTCCTGGGCTGCCCGCAGGTACATCCTGAGTACCGTTCCTGAGGGGGGGGGGCTCGCCATCGCTCGGACGTCCACTCCCCGTGCACATTTCTGTCGCAAGATGACCCAAGATCCAAGATGCTCCCCGATGGACCTCGCTGAGAAAATGAACACGTCCGAGAGGTGCCAATGGGGGAGGGGCCTGGGAGGGAGAGGGGAGGAGGGGCGCTCACAGTGACGCTGTCGGGGCCTGTAGCTAGCAGCATTGAGGTCACCACCCCAATCCACGGGTACTGCCAATCTGCGGCGCGGAGAAGCTCGAAGCCCAGACGACTCAGCAAATGACACTGCACCGCGCAATGTTACGCCAGACGCTCCCGATCAACCGCAGAGAGGAGGCGGGCTGGTAGTATCAATAGCAGGAGAAGCAGCAACAGAGGAGTCTAACGGGGACGGTACTTTTGCTCGTGATCAGACTGAATGGGATGCTGGCGAGGACGATTGTGATAACAGTCATAGCCATCAGAACGATGACGTCATCATGATCCACAGACTGACGACGGAGTCCCGCCGGGCTCGCCTGGTCATCTAGCGGCGACTGAAGATGGCGCCCGACAGGGCTTGCCTGGTCATCTAGCCGCGGCGAGCACAACGGTGTGACCTCAGCACGCGGTCGACTGAACTGCCGATCATGGCCTCCCCCATCAGCGCGATCTGGCCACGCAGTCGAACAGTACCGTTCCCAGCATAGCACCGAACATTGATGGCACTATTGCGACAAGCAAGCTCTTGTCATGCCAGCACGGGCTCTGGCTTCTGCCAAAGCGCAGGCCGTCCAATCTCGAGCGATCTCCGCCGCCGAGGGCCCCAGAGGTTGCCGGGGCCTTCGATCTTGAGCGACCACGCCATCGCCGCCGTCGCGACGATAAGACACGAATCCTAACACAAGTTCCCGCGGCGCCGGAGATCTGGATTCTCTTCGGCCCCAGGGGGGGGGGGGGCAGAGCGTTACATGCTCGTTCTGGGGACCTTGTTGGAGCCATTCGCTCCGCACATGCGTCGATGCTGCGTCGAACGTCCGTCGACCTGAGTCGCACTCGACTCGAACTTGAGTCGAGCTTGAGTCGAACTTGGGTCGATCTAGAGTGTAACTAGAGTCCAACAAATATCTTAGGTGGCCCCCAGGAAGGTCCCCAGAACGAGCACTTGAAGAGCGCCGTGCAACACTTCCGACGAGGTGACCTTTTTCCAGACCCAGCTCCTGGGACCAGTCGTCCCCCTCCTGGGGGCAGCGCCTTCGCGCCGCGTCGTTTTTGTTCCGATGGTCACTGGAGGGAGGAGGCGGAGGAGAAGGAGGAGGAGGAGGAGGAGGAGGAGGAGGGGGAGGAGGAGGAGGAGGAGGAGGCGGAGGAGGTAGGGGGAGGAAGGAGGAAGAGGAGGAGGGAGGAGGAGGGAGGGAGGAGGAGGAGGGGGAGGAGGAGCCCCCCCCACGGTCATCTGAGTGCCCCCCGAGAGGTGCCGAGGCGCAGCGCCGCGAGCGCGGGCGCCCGCTCCCGCTGGGGCGCGGGCGTCGAAGCCGCTGCGCGCGAGCCGGGCGGACATGGGCGCCACGTCCCTGCAGGGGGGGGCATCCCCAGGGGGAGCGTTGTGAGGAAAATCTGGGAGGGCCCTCGCGGGCCCCTGCCTCCTCTCCTCTCCCTCTCCTCTCCTCCTCCTCCTCCTCCTCCTCCTCATCCCTCCCTCCTCACCCCTCCCCTCCCTCCCTCCCTCCTCCCTCCCTCCTCCCCTCCCTCCCTCCCTCCCTCCCTCCCTCCCTCCCTCCCTCCTCCATCCTCCCTTCTCCCTCTCCTCCCTCCCTCCCTCCCTCCCTCCTCCTCCTCCTCCGCCCTCCATCCCTCCTCACCCTTCTCCCTCCTCTCTCTCACTCCTCCTCCTCTCTCCTCTCCTCCTGCTCCTCTCCTCCTCCTCCTCCCTTTCATCTTCGTCCTTCTCAGGGTCGGCGGCACTGGCCGTATGGCCTTCGCAGTCTGGGAGGCCTCGCGCGGCAACTTGAGGCTCGATGTACGTCGAATACACGTCGGATTTACGTCGGGTTCACGTCGGACCACGTCGGAATTACGTTGGATTTACGTCGGAATTGCGCCGCGCCCTTGCAGGAGGGGCATCTCAAAGGGGGCGCCAAGGGTGGGCAGTCAGTTCGCAGGGCCAGACATGCTCCCGTAGAGAAAGAGAGAGAGAGAGAGAGACACAAAAAAACAAAACAGAGAGCGAGAGAGAGAGAGAGAGAGAGATCAGGACGTAATGTTGGCCGTTTTCGGCCTCTGTGGGGCGCTCCCTGGGCCGCAGGACCATCGAAAAAGGGGTAACCAAGTGGGGCGTCACAAGGTGGGTCAGCCCGTTCGCAGGACCAGAATCCAGACATGCTCGCGTCGCACAAAAAAAAACTATCCAGACGTAAAATTTCTGGACGTTTTCAGCCTTTGGGGGCCCTCACCGGGCCCCGGGACTGCCGAAAAAGGGGCAGCCACGTAGAGCGTCAAGGTGAACCAGCATGGAAGTGAGCACAAGGGGGGGCGGAGGGGGGACGGCTTCTTAGAAGGAGGCTGCTTCTCAGAATGCGCCGGCCTCACATCTGTGGACACGGCCCGCGCCTTCTCAGGAGCAGGGGTGCTGCTTCTGAAAAGCCCTCCCCCCTCCTCTCTCCTCCTCCCTCCTCCTCCTCCTCTCCTCCTCCTCCCCTCCTCCTCCTTCCTCTCTCCTCTCCTCCTCCTCCTCCTCCTCCCCTCCTCCTCTCCTCCTCCTCTCCTCCCTCCCCCCCCTCCTCCCTCCTCCTCCTCCCCTCCCTCCTCCTCCCTCCTCCTCCTCTCCTCCTCCTCCTCCGCCTCCTCCTCCTCCTCCTCCTCCTCCTCCCACATCCACCTCCCCCCCGTTGCGCGGGGCCGACCAGAGCAGGGCCAGAATCCAGACGTGCTTGCGCCGCAGGTTCGCGGCCGTCTTCGGCCCCGGGGGGGCCCTCGCCGGACCCTGGGGGCCGTCGGCAGAGGGCCTCCGGGTGCAGTCGCGCCGCCACAGAGAAAAACATGGGACGCACAGAGACATACCGATGCTGCACTGAAGGGGCCCCAGGACACACAAATAAATACACGCAAATCAAATAATTCCTCATATTTTCTGGGTTTTTGTCTTCCCCCCACTTCCCATATTTTCCCGTATTCTCCTGGGAGATTAATTGTGTCTGTGTGTTTTTTCCCCTCCTGATACACGTCCTCCTTAGAGGCGCGTGCAGCCCTCCATCAACATGAGAGCATCTCTCTCCTCACGGTTGCCGCACGCAGCTCGTTCAGACGCCGTCCGCTCGGCGGCGCCGATGTTCCCTCGCAAACTTCAGGGAGAGCATCTTTCGTCCTGCGTGAGTGCTAGTACAACATGTCCTCCTTGGAGGCGCGCGGGCGATCCGAACGTAAAGTATATCGTTTCCTGAGCGGCGTGGCCAGGAAGCGCCCGCCACGGCGCATGTACTGCAAGATTTCTCGGTGCGCGCGTCGCCCCCAGGGGGGCCACGCACATATAGTATAAGTATGTTGGGGTGACGCCGAAATCAGGGCGGAGGGATTTGTTGGGCAGTTTCGCATCTCCGGGCGCACTCCCGCTGGGCCGCGGCACCGACGAACAAGGACGCAGGATGGGAAACCGGTCCCTTGGGAAGTCGCTGGGTCCTGAACGCATCAGGACATCGCAGGTCGCGGCGGCGAGCCCAGGGAGGGATGTGAGAAGGGGGCGGGCCTTCTCAGAAGGCTCGAAATCCCCCCGGCCTTCTGAGAAGTGTCCTGCGCCTTCACCGCAGACATGGACTCCTCGGAAGCCGCATGGGCTTCTGAGGAGTCCAGCCGCCATCTGAGAAGGCCCTGCTCCTTCTCACTTGTGAACGTTTTTTTAATTCGGCGTTTCGACATTGGGCGGAAGGGGGGGGGGGGGGGGGAGGGGGGGGGTCCGGCTCCGGACCGCTGCTTAGCGCGACTGTTTGGGACCATGCGTACTATGGGGGAGACTCCACCTGCTCGAAACAGGCGCCAAGAACGGCCAAAATCTACTCCGGGGGGGAGGGGGGGTGCGAGAAACCGCGCCGATCGGCAAAGCAGTGATGCAAAAAAACGATCACCTTCCCCCCCTCGCTCGCAGCCGAATGTCTGGGTAGCAGGGCCAGAGGTGGGCTCAGAGGGGCCTCGCCCCTGATGATCGGCCTCGAGCTGGGCTTAGGTCGGGCATGTCCCCCTACAGGAGGATTTTGGGTGAAAAGATTGTGTACCCAGACTGTTTTTTAATACTGTCTTGAAACATTCCTCCAGTAGAGGGACAGGCCCGACTTGAAGCTGGGCTCGCTCCTCACCCCCACCTCGCATTGGGCTGCAACCCCCCTGTTAGATGCTCATTCTGGGGGCCCTCTTGGAGCCACTCGCTCCACTAGTGAGCCGAAGCTGCACTGAACGTCCGTCGACTCGGGACGAACCTGAGCCGAAACTGCGTCGAACCTGAGTCGAATCTAAGTCGAACCTGAGTCAAACTGGAGTCGAACTGGAGTAAAACTGTAGTCGAACATATCTGGTAGGTGGGCCCCAGCCCAGACCCCCGACGTAATGATTTTTTCATGACGTCGACCCCAGGGGTCCCGACCCTTTCCCCAGGGGTCCCGACCCTTTCCCCAGGACCGGCTTTGCATCCTGAGTCGTTTTTTGACGCTCCCGAGGCCCGGTGAGGGCCCCCCGAGGCCGAAAATTAGGAAAAACCCCCCGTCGTGATTTTTTCATTACTCGAGGGGGTCTGGGAGGGGGGCCCCCGAAACGAACATCGAGCCTCTGCGTAAGTACCCTCGGTCCGACCGGCGTCGCGGCAAGATCGGGTCGGAGGCCTTTCGCCGCCTTTGGCCTCCGACGGGCCGCCCTCGCGGGAACCCCCTGGCCCGTCGGCAGCACAAGCGGCACGAGGCGGTGCCGAGCGGGGTTCGACGTCCTGTGGGGCACTGTGAGCGGGGAAGACCCGCTCAGCCCAGACCCCCTCGAGTAATGAAAAAATCACGACGGGAGGTTTTTCCTAGTTTTCGGCCTCTGGGGGCCCTCACCGGGCCTCGGGAGCGTCAAAAAACGACTCAGGATGGAAAGCCGGTCATGGGGAAAGGGTCGGGGCCTCTGGGGGTCGACGTAATGAAAAAATCATTACGTCGGGGGTCTGGGAGGAAGGGAAAGCCTTGGTCTGGAATCGGCGGTACATCGCCGCTAGATCGGGGATAGGCCTCCGGATAGCGACTCTGCACATGCCTGGGCAGGCAGTGTGCCCTCGGGCACCCGTGCGCGATACGTTGGCGATGAGGGGCCGACGCCCCCCTCAACGCCTGAGCCTGTCCCCTCCGTGACGGTGCCCCTGACTCAAACATTCGGGAGCTGGGCGAGGGCTAGCAAATCCGTGGCTGCTAAAACCGTCTTCGGGAAGAAGAACACAAATTCCCGAAATAAACCTCAGCGCGCAAAAGAGTAAACCAGCTGCTACCCGGAAGAAAAAACAATTTCCTGGAGCTCCGTTTTAGCAGCCACGGGTTTAACAGCCTTCGCCTGGCTTCTGAGACATGCGACGTCCTGATTTTTTTGATACGCGGCCCCCTGAAGACTCAACCCTTCCCTGGGACCGGTTTCTCATCTCGAGCCGTTTTTTTCGACGGGCCCCGGGGCCCGGCGAGGGCCACCATGAGGATGAAACAAAAAAAACTGGGGAAACCCTCCGTCCTGCTGTCGTGAGAGGCCTCCTAGATGGGGTCGGGTAGATGGGGTCGGCGGATCGCGCCGCATCGCCGATACATCGCCGATGCATCGGCGGTGCATCGGCGGTGCACCGGCGACGCATCGGCGACGTCGGCGATGCGTCGGCGACGTGGACGTGAAGCAAATCGGACTGCACATCGACCCGCCTCGGCGATGCATCGGCGATGCGGCGCGATCCTCCGACCCCATCTACTCCGACCCCACCTAGGAGGCCTAGACTCAGGTTGGGCATGCCCCCCTACACGGGGATTTTGGACGAAAAATGAAAAATACCCTGAAACACACACATATATTTCAAACATGCGCAAAAAATGGTCACGGGATATTTTTTCTGACTATTTTTAAATTCCTCCTGTAGAGGCACAGGCTCGCCTTACGCCGAGACCTCCGTCCTACTGTCTTTGCCACGCGATCGTGTGCGGCGAGGCGCAGTTTGGGCCTCCGTTTTCGGCCCCCACCTCCGGCAGCACGGTTTCCCCTGGGGCCGTAGGCGAGCCAAGGAGGAGGAGGCGGAGGAGGAGGGGGAGGAGGAGAGATGAGGAGGGAGGAGGAGGAGGAGGAGGAGGAGGAGGAGGAGGAGGAGGAGGAGGAGGAGGGGAAGGAGGAGGAGGAGGAGGAGGAAGAGGAGGAGGGGGAGGGTGGGGGGTGACATTTAAGAGTATGTGACCTGCGCTGTTTGCTCGCGCCGAGACGTTTGTTTTTCCGCGCGGCATCTCATGGCGTGAGCTTGCTCGCGTGCACGGTTGTGGCGCGCGCACCGCGTCGTCACCATCATCATCATCATCATCATCATCATCATCATCATCATCATCATCATCATCATCATCATCATCGCCATCATCATCCCTTCTCGTCATCGCCCTCGCCCTCGTCATCATCACCATCATCATCATCGTCATCATCATCATCGTCATCATCGTCATCATAATCCTAATCGTCATCACCGTCGTCGTCATCACCATCATCATCGTCTCTCCTCCTCCTCCTCCTCCTCCTCCTCCTCCCCCTCCGCCTCTTCGCTTCCCAGGTCAGGACGGAGGGGGAGGAGAAGGGATAAGTAGTGGAGAGGAGGGGGCCGGTACAATGAGAAATGATAAGAAGCCTCCACAATGAAAATCAATAAGAACACCCTACAATCAAAAACAATAAGAAACCCATACAATCAAAAACAATAAGAAACCCATACAATCAAAAACAATAAGAAACCCATACAATCAGAAACAATCAGAAACCTGTAAAATATAAGAAGCCCATACGATCAAAAACAATAACAAATACATACAACCAAAAACAATAAGAAATCCGTACAATCAAAAACAATAAGAAACCCATACAATCAAAAACAATAACAAATCCATACAATCAAAAACAATAAGAAATCCGTACAATCAAAAACAATAAGACACCCGTACAATCAAAAACAATCAGAAAACGTCTTGGGTCCACAAACCCTGTGAGGGTACCAAAAAAACAAAACAAAACAACAAAAAAAAAAAAAACTTGTGAGGGTACCCAAAGAACCAAAAAACAATGGTTTTCGTGCCTTCAGGCTGCCTGGGCGGATCTGGGCTGGAGGGGCCCGGAGGAAGCCCGAAGACGCGAAAACCATTGTTTTTTGGTTTTTGTTGGTACCCTCACATGTTTTTTTGTTTTGTTTTTGGGTTTTTTTGTTGTTGTTTTTTTGGTACCCTCACAGGGTTCGTGGACCCAAGACGTTTTCTGATTGTTTTTGATTGTATGGATATCTTTTTGTTTTTGATTGTACGGATTTCTTATTGTTTTTGATTGTATGGATTTGTTAGCTGGAGGGGCCCGGAGGAAGCCCGAAGACACGAAAACAATTGATTTTTGGTTTTTGTTGGTACCCTCACAGGGTTCGGGGACCCAAGACGTTTTCTGATTGTTTTTGAATGTATTGATTTCTCATTGTTTTTGATTGTACGGATTTCTTTTTGTTTTTGATTGTATGGATTTGTTATTGTGTTTGATCTTATGGATTTGTGATTGTTTTTGATTGTATGGGTTTCTGATTGTTTTTGGTTGTATGGATTTCTAATTGTTTGGGATTGTATGGGTTTGTTACTGTTTTGATTGTACGGATGTCTTATTGTTTTGATGGCGCGGAAAAGAAAGGAAATGTGGAGGACGAATAATACGAGAAGGAACATGCGGAGGGGGATGAAAAGGATTATGATGATGATGATGATAATGACGATGATGATGATGATGACGACGATGATGATGATGGTGATGATGATGGTGAGGATGATGGTGATGATGATGGTGATGATGATGATGATGATGATGATGATGATGATGATGATCATGATGCTGAGAAAAGCGGCAGGCCACATACTCTTAAATGTCACCCTTACGGAGGGGGAGGAGGAGGGAGGAGGAGGAGGAGGAGGAGGAGGGAGGGAGGAGGAGGAGGAGGAGGAGGAGGAGAGGAGGAGGGGAGGAGTAGGAGGAGGGAGGAGGAGGAGGGAGGAGGAGTAGGAGGAGGAGAGGGAGGGGGAGGACGAGGAGAGGAGGAGGAGGAGGAGGAGGAGGAAGGATGATGATGATGATGAGGGGGAGGAGGAGGAAGAGGAGGGGGAGGAGGGGTCGCCAAAGCCCTTCGGAGAAACCCCCCACCTCTGGCACAATGCGGACGTTCTCTCTGCCCGCGCGCCCGCCCGGGTCGAGCGGCCTCGGGGAGTGCTCGGGCTCGGCCTGGGCCAGACTCAGGTCGGGTAGTATGTCCTCCTACAGGCGTAGTCCAAATCCCTTATCAATCGTCCCCAGGGTCCCGTTTTCAAGGTGCCTTTTTTGTAACTAGGGGGGTCCGGTTTATGAGGGCGCTTTCTTTGGACTGGAGCTTAGGGGGTCGAGTTCATTAAGGCGTCGCGTCGAAGAGGGGTTCGGAATAATAGGTCGCATGTGGAGGGGGGTATGGTTTCTTAGGGGGGTCGATTAATCAGGGATTCGGAAGAGATTTGGAAGAAAAAACACGATTCATCAAACAATCAAACGTAGTCACCGAAGCAACACACATCGTTAGAAGACTAACATTTTACTCCTCTCGAATCAAACCTCCTGTCGAGAGACATGCCGACTTAAGGCTTGTCCCGGGCCAGTCTGGGGCTGCGGGGGGGGGGGGGCATCAACCGACGCCACACACCTCCGAGGCGACGACAACGAGCTCCAGTCGGCGGCGAGCCCGGGGGCGAACTGCGAAGGGGAGGGCCTTCTCAGAAGGCTCGGATGTCCCCTGGCCTTCTGAACAGATGTCTGAGCTTCCCCCGAAGACGCACATTTGAAAAGCCCCGCCCCCTTCGGAGAAGGCCTTCTCCTTCTCACTTCCCCCCCAGGCGAGGGGCACGAAACCATGTAAATAGTATGGGTTTCCGATACCCTCCTCGCTCAGGCGGGGCCTCTCTGGAGGGGTGGAGGGAGGAGGGAGGAGGAGGAGGAGGAGGAGGATAAGGAGGAGGAAGAGGAGGAGGAGGAGGAGGAGAAGGAGCAGGAGGAGGAGCAGGAGAGCCTCCGGCGAGGCGCCGCCGCTGGCAAGCATCCCGAAGCTGGAAAACCGCCCTCGACCTTCCCACCCCTTCTCCAGCCCTGACCTTCCAGAGAGCTATTTTTTGGCACTGGAGACCTAAAAACCTAAAAAACTAAACGAAACAGCCTAAAACCAAGACGTAGAATAGCTCTGGGATAGGTTTTTAGGTCGGGTGCTATTTTTTAGCCCTCCTGGAAGGTCAGGGAGGGTCGGGGGCTGCTCTACAGAAGTGCCCCTGGCCCAAGGCGCCCTTGGCTTTTCGCTCAATTCTGGAGCCCCTGGGGCCCTCTGGGCGTCGTGAGGGGTGCTCTGGAGGCCGCCCGGGCCACCCCCGACAGCACCCGACAAGGGCACTTCTGGCAACACCCGACAGGGGTAGGGTTCTGGTCCTGGATCCACCTTGCACGGTCCCACGATGCCCGCGAAAGGGGCCCCGGGGGCCGACGTCGAGGAACACCGCCCGCATAGACAAGAACTCATGCCGCCGGAGATCTGGGGCGACGACGACGACCACGACGACGACGACGACGACGGACGGCGACTTTCGACGACGACGGCGACGCCGACGACGGCGACTTTCGACGACGACGACTTTCGACGACGACGGCGACTTGCGACGACGACGACGACTTGCGACGACGACGGCGACGACGACGGCGACGACGAACGGACGACGACGGCCGGCCGGCGGCTCCGGCCTCGGCGACTGGAGCGGCGGCCTGCGGGGCGACGGCTCCGGCGGCCCCTCGGCGCCGGCGGCCCTGCGCTGCGAGGGCCGCTGCCGCGGCGTGCGCCTGGGGGAGGAGCGGCGCCCACGGGAGCAGGCAGGAGTCCCATCGGGAGCGGCCAGGAGGGGGGTGTCCAGGAGGGGGGGGGGGCGCCAAGAGGGGGGGGGCCAAGAGGGGGGTGTCCAAGACGCCAAGAGGGGGGGGGTCCAAGAGGGGGGGGGGTCCAGGAGAGGGGGGGTGTCCAGGAGGGGAGAGTCTGGCCATCGCTCGGACGTCCATTCCCTGTGCTTTTTTCGGTTTCGTGCGTGGTTTAAGTGATCGAGGATGCTCCTCGATAGTCCTCGCCAGAGGAAAAATGCACTCGTCCGAGCGATGCCAAGCAGGAGCAGACACAAGTCCTAAGTCGGGCGTGTCCCCCTACAGGGGGAGCTTCGACAAAAAGTTGAAGATACTCAAAAAAATACCCCCAAAAGGTGAAAAAATCCTCAAAAAATAGTCCCCAGACTATTTTTGGACAATTTTTTGTTTATTTTTGGGGTATCTTTTATTTGTCGTCGAAAATCCCCTTGTAGGGAGACAGGCCCGACTTAACACAAGTCCCAGGAGGCCCCGTACATCTGCCCATCTTTTCTGGACTCTCGTCTATTCCCCTATCCACTTCCTGTGCTTTCCCAGATTCTCCCTCCTGGACATCGACGTTCATGCGTGCTTGTCTTCTCTCCTGAGAGCAGCAGTAAGACGCAACTGCTGTGAGGTCGTCGTCAGACCCACTAGAACGGCTACCAAGTAAGGCGGGGCCAGGGCGAGGACAAATTCGGGTGAGGCTAAATCGAGACTCTCTGAGATCTGGCGGCTCTGGAGGATGTCTCGGGCGACGCGGCCTTCTCAGAGCGTTCCGGAAAGTCCTGAGAGCTGTCTGGAACGCTCTGGAACGAATCAGTCCTCGTCCTAAACCCCCTCCGGCAATGGCTACCAAACCCGATTGGCAAGTCATTGAGGCGGATTAGGCCAAATGAAGCCTGAAGTATGCCAGACCAAGCGGCACTGAGTCGGATTGAGCGGGATGAAGCCTTGACTAGGCGGAATGAAGCCAGATTGGGCTTGTCTCCGACGAGGGATCTACCAGAGCCGATTCTGACTTGAATCCCCCATGAGTTGCATGCTAAGGAGCAGGGTGCCGTCCATCGGTCGTACCTGGTTTTAGGTGACGCTCATGGGCGGCACTGCAATGCATCCTTGTTGTCTTGTTATCAGCAACGCTCAGGAATCTGGTTTCTCGGTTTGAGGTCTGCTCCTTCAAGGACTTCCACGTCCTCGCTGTGTGCGTGCGACGGCACCCACGTTCCAGAAATTCACGCTCTGAACGTGCTCCTCTCCATTTCCGCGCGCGTCTTCTCCCCCTTCGCCTGCTGTATCCCATTCGGACCCGTTGCATCCCACGGCTGCCTCCGAACGCGCCAATGACTCCCGCCGCTGCGACCGCAAACGCAGGACGAGGCCAAGACCGGGACTCGATCGGACTGGGACACATCTGAAATCTCTGAGCCCAGACCCCCGACGTCATGCTCTTTTCATGACGTCGACCCCCAAAGAAGTCTCGCCAAGACCGGCTTCTCATTCTGAATCGCTCTTGACGGCCACTGGGCCCAGAAAGGCCCCCCGAACGATCAACCTTTCGTCATGATTTGTCCATGACCCGTCGGTCATCTGACCCGGGTCAATCCAGACCTGGGTCAGTCAGGCCTTGCAAAATCCTGCAAGATCCTGCGCCCAAACCCGGGTCAACGCGAAGGATCCTGCAAACTCTTGCAAGATCCTGCACGCAAACCAGGGTCCGATGCGCCCCTGGCCCTGCAGGATCCTGCAAGATCTGGCCCTCTGGCTGACCCCCGTCTGCATTGACCCCCGTCTCGAGGCTCCCGAACCCGAGGGGGCCCCGGAGTCCCGGCAGCTCTGGAGGACTCGGGTCGGGCGAAAGGGGGGGATAGCAAAGGAGGGGGTTGAGAATCAGCTCACGTAGCTGATTTTCCCGGCGCCTCCCGGCTCCGGAGGCGGCCATCTATCGAGGAATGGGCTCCTCGGTGGGGCCGAATCCAGCTGCATGCAACAGATTTCGTAACCCCCCCTTTCCCTGTCCCCCCCTTTCGCCCGGCCCGAAGTCGGGAGCGGCCAAGAGGGGGGTGTCCAAGAGGGGGGGTGCAAATCATGACCGGCGGCATGTGCGCGGCCCAGCAGGGGGGCCAGGGACGTAATGAAATAAGAAGAGGCGCCATGAAGTCGGAGGAAAAATCATGGCCCCCGCCATGATCTCCCCCCCCCAGCCCAGACCCCCGACGTAATGATTTTTTCGTTACGTCGACCCCAGGGGTCCCGACCCTTTCCCCAGGACTGGCTTTGCATCCTGAGTCGTTTTTTGACGCTCCCGAGGCCCGGTGAGGGCCCCCAGAGACCGAAAATGAAGGAAAACCTTCCGTCATGATTTTTTCATTACTCGAGGGGGTCAGGGAGTCCTCACCCCCCTCTTTGCCGCCCCCGATCCTGAGATCCTGGCGACTCAATGTTTTCGAGCCGGGCGCTTTCGCCTCCTTTCGGGCCCCGCGGGGCCCTCACAGATCGGTGCGGCTCGAACACTGCCGCAGGAAGATAGGGCTCGAGGCTCCGGGAGCGGACTTTCACGATGTTGCAATTTTGTTCGCTACGTCGGATCTGAGGGCTCGCCGGGCCTCGGGGGCGCCCCGGAGATCCGATGTTGCACTCAGATTGCAACACCGCGAAAAACCACGACCGGAGCCCCGAAACCCCAGCTTCCTGCATCAAGTCTCGAGCCGCATCGACCTGTGAGGGTCCCTATCCCTGACCTTCCAGAGAGCTATTTTTTAGCACTGGAGACCAAAAAACCTAAAAAACCAAACGAAACAGCCTAAAACCAAGACGTAGAATAGCTCTGGGATAGCTTTTTAGGTCGGGTGTTATTTTTTAGCCCTCCTGGAAGGTCAGGGTAGGGGCCCCAAACTGAGCGAGAACACCGGGTGTGAAAAGATTACGATGCCAGGGTCTCGGGGGTCAACAAAACGACTTAGCACGAGCAACCGGCCACAGGGAAGTGGTCTGGACCTCCGGGGGCCAGGCATCGAACCAAGCTTGGGCCGCGGGCGGGCGTCTGGGCCTGGGCCGCACCTTGCGCTCTGCCGCAGATCGCCGGATCACCAAGAGTCCCTCTAGCAGGGACCGACCGTCCCGGCATTCCTAGGTTGGCGTCGCGCAGGGGGGGTAGGGGGAGGGGGGAAGGCTTCGTGGAAGGAGGCTGCTTCTTAGAGGGCGCGGGCCTTAAATCTATAGGTAAGGCCCGCGCCTTTTGAGAAGCAGGGGAAACTTCTCGGAAGTCTTCCCCCCTCGCCCATACCCCCCTTCGGCGCGTGGCCGACTAGTCCTATCACGACATGCTCTGAGAGCAGAAGATATTCTGAGAACGCGAAGCTGGCTAGATTGTAACCGTGCTGTCCGAGCGAAGTGTTCCCAGAGCAGTTCGTGCAAGCCACAACGAGTCCTAGAACATTCATTGATGTTGATGGGCATATTGGCGAGTCAGGACGCTTCGCCTCTGCTTAGCCTCTCGACCAACTGTGTGCACAAGGCGCTCCAGCAAAGGGCCGTCGCTGCGGCATGGGGGACGAGGGCGAGGACCACGACGAGAGGAAAGAGGCGGGGGCGAGAATCGGTGGCGAGAGAGGGGGGGGAGGGAGAAGAAAAAGGCCTTCTCAGAAGGCGGCGGGACTTCTCAAAAGGCCTCGCGCCTTGTTGAAAGGAAACCCTAACGCCTTCGGCCCTAGCGCCCTCGGGCCAGGCTTAGAAAGCTCCTAAGATGGCCGCGGGCTTCCGGACCCTCTGCGCAGGCCCTCTCCTTCTAGCTTCCCCCCACGGCCCGGCTCGCCGCCGAAAACTCGCCATCGCTTGGACGTCCATTCCCTGTGCATTTTCAGGTTTCGTGCGTGTATTACTTGGCAACGTGAACAAAAATACTCCTCGATGGCACTCGCCGATAAAAAAGCCACACCTCCGAGCGATGCCGCCGAAACGAAGGCTGGACGGCCGACGCGCGGCAGCCGCCATTCTGCCAAGGGGGCGGCGGGCGTCTCGAGAGCCCGTCCGCGGCGCGCAAAGGCCAATTGGGCAACTGGGCGACGAACGAGACTTGCCGTCGCTCGGACGTCCATTTCCCGTGCATGTTTCGGTCTCGTGCGTGTTTTTGTTGGCTCGATGGTCCAGGATGGTCCTCGATGGTTCTCGCCGAGAAAAATGCACACACGTCCGAGCGATGCCCAGGCAACTGGGCGACGAACGAGAAGGCCTCGTGCGTGTTTTTTTGCTCGATGGTCCAGGATCGTCCTCGATGGTTCTCGCCGAGGGAAAATGCACACACACACACAACCACGACGCGACGAGGTGAAATATGAGATTGTGAGCAACGCCTTCGGCGAAACATGTGCCGATCTAGATTGCAATTCTCTTACACACGTGCTCACCATTCCTCTGTCGCGCAGGGTCGCCCAGGGAGCATCATTCCCTGGGGGGAATCGCCCCAAACAAATTCCAGCCCGCCCGGTGATGGAGGGAAAATGAACCGCCGCGACGACGACGACGCTTACAACTACGACTGAGATTACGACTACGATAGCGTCTATTACATCGACGGCGGTTGCGACTACAATCGCGACAGCGATCACGAGAACAATCACGATTCTAACAACGACGACAATCACGACTATAACCAAAACCACTGAATATGATTGCGCTCCTCGTGAGAAGATGCTCACAGATCCTCTCGTGAATCCTCTCGTGCGCAAGGTAGCCCACTTTAAATTTTGCCCCAAACAGTATTAAGCCAGAGCCCCCAAAAAATGACCATACATTCCCCGCGACAGCGAAAACGACGACGACGACGATTACGATAACGACCGCGAGAGCCTCCCGGTTTTCTTATGTCTGCCTTGCCTCTAGCCGTAGCCGTGGTTGTAAGAGGAGCAATAATAATAGTAATAGTAGTAGTAGTAGTAGTAGTAGTAGTA